ACAGCATATAGCTTGCCTACCGTGAGCTGACCTCTCCTTGACCCTGGGAAGGGAGGCTGGTGAGGACTGATGCCACATGCAGCCCCCTGCCCCAAGCCTGGACACCGTGGACTGCATACACAGGGCCCACCTCAGAGCATCTTGGCTACTGTACACAATGTACATTTTTACACATTTGTCCTTCTAAAGATAACTTGGTATCTTAGAGTCTGTTGCCTTTGTTACTTTTTTAAAGCCAGAAAGAACAGAACAATGGAAATACAGGACTGAGCCACCTGCCAGGCCAACGGGCAGTGGGAGGAGGCCACTGCTGCATCTGGCTAGAACTGAGAACATGGGCTGTGGGCAGAAGCCAAGCACATCAAACACACACTATCCAAATCACAGGACCAGCGATGTGGAGGAGCTCCTGGTCACAGGGGAAGCAGGGAGCCGGACTGAGGACTAAGCATGCGGTCTGCGCTGTCCCTTGAAGCGAGCCGTGACAGTGCAAGCAGAAAGACAAAGCCTGGAGAACAGAGTGTGGTCAGGGTTAGGGGCAGCACGGGCAATATTGGTGGAGGCAGTGTGGGTGAGCAGGTGAGGATGAGCACAGATGGCACACGACACAAACAGTGACAGTATGGTGGGTGAGGACGGATGGTCACATGGGAACTTGCACAGGGCACCCTGGGCTCCCACGTGGCCCATACCCTACAACCTGGGGCTCAGGGCAGGCTCTGTTCGTGCTGTAAGTGGGGCCAGATGGGCATCCCGCAACCATGAACACCAGCCTCCACAGCTCCTGCTCTTCTGACCCCCAGCTTGTGCTCTTTCCACCCTTCGTAGTAAACACTGACACACCCCTTGGGCCTTGGCTAAGCTTTGCCTCCTCAGGAAGGCCTCCTATCCACCAAAGCCAGGCCAGGTCTCTTTGGGGTGGTTTCAGTTGCACCCTGACACTCAATTGATTCCCAGCTTCACACTTGCCTTCCCCAGAACCTGCAACAGGCACCAGAATTGTCCCATGCACCCAGAACAATGCTAATGGGCACTAGATAGGCATGGCCATGGGATGGCTAAAGAACCCCACAGAAGGCTCAGCCTCAGACTGACCACAGGGCAAGACCTCTGCTCTCTGAGGCCCTTTCTGGCTCCGAGATTCTTGGCTCCGAGATTCTCGGGTAACATGGAGCAGGGCAGGCAGACAGCAAGGGTCTTGGCAGTCCAAGAGAGCCACTATGTACACATCCCAAAGGCTGGCTGAGCTGGGCCAAGTTATGGACCAAGGTGTCCTGTAACAGCCCTGCTCCATAGGCCCTGCTACCGACAAACTTCCAACAAACAAAGCAGGGAAATGCACACAGATCCAGTCTCCATTAGGTCAGCGAGCACAGGACCTTCCCAGTGTTAGCCTCCTCTGGCCTGGGGTGGAAGGAACCTTAGACCCCCCAATTCTCCCTCAGCTTCACCCCAGCTACCAGGCAGCCCTAGAAGAGTGTCCAATTGCCCTCAGCTTGGCTTCCTCCCAGGGAAACAGGACCAATCGCCAAGCAAGGCAGCTATAAGGGCGGGACCACAGGCACCTCTCCCAGGGCCCAGCCCAGAGCAAGCACACACTGATATGACACGGGGCACAGTTACTCACACACGTGTTCACACACTCCATGCCGGGGAAGGGTATAAAATTTGTTCAGAAATCTCATTATGCTACGTTTGAACATGAGTAAACAGCAATCATTGTGAGCCCCTTGAGGGTCACAATGTACTCCCTGCGACTCCTTTACCTTGTCAGGAAGCATCAACACTAAGGATTTCAGCACTGAGACAAATCCCAAAATGGACAGGAGAAATAAGGCAGGCTGGGAAGAGTGGTCAGGCAGGGCTGCTTCATTCTCTCTCTCTCTCTCAGCTTGGCCAGAGGGCCCCTCTTCAGGTCAGCTATGGGCACACTCTCAGCCACCCCAAGAAGGGCTAGCTTTCATATCTGACAATGATGGAGTCTCAGAGCAACTCAATGGCCAATCCCAGAGTACTTTTAGCCAGAGCTGTGGATAGGCTGCTGGAAGCTTCTAACCCTAGTGCAGGATGGCACAAGGGTGCAGATGGGACCAGTCAAGAGAGCAAAGAAGGTTTCTTCTAAGAAGCCATTATCAAATGTTGAGTTACCTACATAAAATCTGGAGCTATTTTTCTAAATCTCTTCTAAAAATTTACAGCAAATAAGAATTGACTCTAGCTGATTTTTGATTTTGAAGCTCAGGTATACAAAAGTAGAAGGGCAGCTCAAAGGTAGGGTATCCTAACCATACCTTAGGGAAGTCCTGATGCCTGGCTCCCTGTCTAGCTGATAACAAGTTAGCCTCTGACAGGCTCCAGGATACAGGAGACTTGGGCCCAGAAACCCAAAGGCCCAGCCCTGCTCAGAGGCTGCTGCTTCCAAGGACACTGCCTGTCCCTCTTCCAAAGCCACACAACTGGCCTGAGAGAGACACGGTGCAAACTGAGGATGACAGGTCCCAGACGCGGGCTCCTCCTGCTATGCAGTGCTACATGGCCCTTGTGCCAGCTCTGATGACCTGGGGATGCCTGCGTCTAGGATGTGGTTACACTGTGCAAGCACCTTCCTTTAATACTCATGAGAAAAACGTTACTCCTGTTCACCAGGTGAAGAAACCGGCTCAGAGTCAAGTCCCTTACCCAAGGTGGCCACGCAAGGTAGCAGTGGGGCTGGGACTGAAATGCAGATCCCCCTGACTCCAACTTCCCTGTCTTACCTCGAGCGGGTCCCTGAACTGCTTCTCTTGGTCTGCACCAGGGCTAGAAGCACCCATCAGCATTCCTGTAGAAGGGCTCGGTTATGGCCTGGAGTGAGCACTAATGCCCTGTCCTCCCACAACAGGAGAGCCATGGCTGGTCTCAGGCTGAAGAGTTGTGTGGGAAGTGTGGGGCCACACGTTCTCCTCCCAGGGCTAGCAGGCCAGCCTGGCTGGGTCACAGGAGGCAGCAGAGGTGGGCAGTGCAGGCCTTGAGGCCACCAGCCTGACACCAGCAATCTGCTGCTTCTGCCAGAGCCAGGGCCTTTCCCTACGAGCTAGTGTAACAGCTGAATGGGCCACTTTAACATTCTAAGATAGGGCCCAAATATTTTCCTGTTGCAGACACTGCTTTCTTTCTGAAGTGAGGAGGGCAAGAGTTCTGAAAGCACCATGCAGCCGGGCCCGTGCAGAGCACAGTATGGCCAGTGCAGGGCTTCCTAGCACATTGGGCTGGGACTGGGCAAAGGTGGGCCATGGTTCCACATTGTTGACAGAAATCACTTTTAAAAAAGTATTTTTTTTTTCAATCATTAAAAAAATGCACAACCACTGAAACTATATTTGAGCCTATCTGAATGGCTCCCTCTGCAAACTCCCAGAGCAAATAACCATTATGTTGGCATTCAAGCCATGTCACCCCAGTGCCCGTCCCCAGCACTCTGCTTCCCTGCAGCTCCATGTGCACATGTGCGCACCAACATGGGACAGCTGGGCAGCGGTGCCAGGCAGCATCATGGTCCCTTTCTGCCTCCTTTCCCCTTTGCTTCTGGGGTGTGCCCACACCAGGGGAGCTACCTGCAGCTCTGTGCACTCATAGGGCCAAGCACAGTTCCTGCTAGCCAAGCTCAGCTCGAACCTGCAATGCTGGGAGAGGTGCCAGCCACAGGCCTGTGGACAGCAATGAGAGGCGTTCCTCTCTCACAAAAGCTGGCATGATGCTAAATCTTCACAGGAGTACCTGGCAGAAACTAATTTGCAGAGCAAGGATTGATATCCAGTGTGTTTTCTCAATATTTTCAAGAGTAAAAGGATGGGAACAGGGTAGTTTTCCTGTTGAACCCGAGTTAAGTAAGATGGGGAGGGACCTGGCTTCAGGACATGCGCAGGACTGAATCCACCCTCTGGGGCACAGGGAGGTGATGGAGCCACGCAGCAGCAGGCATTCAGATGCGCTCAGATCAGCAACCTCTCTCTCCACACCCTCCCCGTACCCTTCTCACAGGCCAAGCAGAATCCAGGAGGGGGCACTGCCAGTCTCCTCTCCTCTCCTATCTCCAAATCCTGGCCCAGAGGGGGCGGTGGGGTGCTGCCCATCTTCCTTCAGCACTTCTCTAAACCTGCTCTCACGCTCTTCTCACCCACAACGTCTTACACTCCAGGAACCCATGCGATGGGCAAGGGGTGTCCCATGCCCGGGGGAAGGTAGGGCAAGGCCCGCTTCCCCACAGCCTGATGCGATCAGCGGCGTGTGAGCGAGGGCCTGCTTGTCTGTTGGCATTGTCATTGCTTCCCCAGGGCTCCACCTTAACGCCCTCTCAATCCACCAATTTGGTTCATTCCAGCAAATACTTTATCACAGCTTATCACTGTAAAGGTGAGGAGAACATGAAAAAATCAAGCTACGAGGTCAGCATGCGAGCCTCCTAATGTTAGTAAGAAATGTGGTTCAAGGGTCGCCACCTGCCATATCCCGTGTGGGATGGCCTCGTACGCGGTCCCAGCGGACTCCACCACCCCGTCTGCACTCCCAGGGGTGACAGACTCAGCACCAGTCACAGTCCTCCCACGGCTATCAGAGGATGTGCTGTAATAAGGCAGGCACAATGCCAGTGCCACTGGACTGATTGCACGGAGGCCACTCCAAGCAGCCTGCAGACCCCAACAGCTAGTCCACGGTCTTTCCTGCCACATCCCCATTCCTGAGGTGGGAAGATGCAGGCTCATAGCTGTGAGATACCTTAGCCTTCCCTGCCCCTTACCAGCCCCCAGGTGGGCCAGCTGGCAGGTGGCGACCCTGAGCATGTTTTGGAAGCACAGAATCACCGTGAGGCCATGAAGTTAATGAACAGCCGCAACATTGCCCGTGTCACCCCAGACCCAGCACCCCCCCTCACCAAAACAAAGCGAATCATCACCCGAAGCACCCTCCCCCTTGATTGGCGTGCCGCCCTGGGCTGGCAGTAGGGAGAACAGGGACTGTACCGTCCGGCGTCGCCTGCTGGTGGGGTTTTTTACATTTGACGTAATCGTGGTCAATCGGAGTAGCTGTGTAAGGTGGGGATGTCAGACCTGGGCCAGAGGAGGAGGGGAGGGAGGCTCCGGGGCCCGGCAGTGTCCCAGCTGAAGAGTGGGAGTCCTCATCCACCAGGCAGGCCTTCTCTCTGTGGGAAGATGGTTGGGGTGCAGGTCAGAATCTCCACATCCCACTGGAATGGGACATGTGCTGGTCTGAGACAATCCTTCCTGACTGCTGAACCCCACACCATCTTCACGGGCCTCCTCTGCCCTTCCTAGGGCCCACTGCTCCCACACACCTCAGGTGACCTGCTCCTCTGGCTGGTGTCTCTTCAGCTGCTGAAGAAACTGCCCCCATGGCATCCCCTTGGGCTCCAGCCCCGAAAGGCCACCGCCCAGCCATCTCAGGGCCCAGGGAGACTACAGGGGAGCTGACAAGCCCTTCCTCGGAAGCACCCACCCCACACCCTTCCACACCAAGTCAGCACCCTTCCATGTGATGCCTGAGGCTTGGTAGATTTAATTCTCGGTAAGATGCAGACAGAGAAAACATCTGGATTTACTGCAAGCTCTCATGTGTACGAGGATATCTACTGTTGAACAAAAAAGTCAGAAACACCTGAAATGTTCCATCGAAATAGCTATAGAAAACATGATACACCCATGCTATGGAATAACATGTAGCAGAGACTATGGGTAGCCACTAGAAAGAATGGAGTGAATGGGGTACCATCTCTATGGTTTTGGTCCCAGTCCCTTTCTCAGGGGAATGTAAACTCGAGAATAACACCTTCAGTAGTTTGTTTTTATAAAATAAAAGAAACCCTACAATTGTACATGTAAATGTAAGTGTATATAAATGCACAGCTAATTGTTTGAGAAAATACATGAATAATGGTTAATTCTGGGGAGGAAAGGGGATTTGTCAAATTTTAGCCTATATGTTCATATATTGCCAAAATTTTCCATAACTAGAATATATCCATGTATTATTTGTATAATTAAAAAAATTTTTTAAAAGAGTTATGATCAATAAAAGAGAACATCATTGTACCTTGGGGGCCCTTTGCGACTAAAAAATGCACATCTATAATTTCTAGGGCACACTGTATCCACCTGGGTGACCTGTCACATGCATGCCCATCTCTCCTATAAGACAATGGGCCTCAAGGTCAGAGCCTGGGCACAGGTCTCTCTGGCACTTGGCTGAGCCCTGCACAGTGCCCAGCCAGGCAGGGAGGGGCACAGAGATGAGGCAAGCTGAGCTGAAGCTCGGAGATGTAGACACCAGGGTAAAAGAAGTCTGGGCCACAATCAAGGGAAGGCCCAAGGGTCCTCTCCACCCAGTGAGGGGACCATACCAGGGCCCTAGCATCCTCATGCTCTCTGGAACTATAGGAAGAGTCCATGCCTCTGATGCCCTTTCCTGTTTCTTGGGAGAACAGGCAGCAGACAGGTCCTCACAAGGCCCCCACTCTTGGTATAGGCCCTGGAAAAGGACCCAGGAGTAAGAGTCTGCAACATGAAAACTGCTTTCCTACAGTGTTCTGCATAGGACAGAGCTGTGCCCCAGTGGTGATGGGGAGGAGCTGGCTTCTCCTTAGGGCCTGCCCATGAGGATGGGGTGGCCCCGGGCATGGCCCCAGCGTGAGGTGACATGGGATTGCACACTCAGCCTCTCCTTCTCAGATTCAACAGAAATACCTTAGTCCAGCAACCAGGAGTCTCCAGATGAGTTCCAGAGACTCAGTGAGCTCTGGTTTACTCAGCAGTAACCCCCCTAATGCCACCTTGCTGTAAATGAGCCATCAGGGTACACATGGGATAAGCTGCTAGGTGAAGAGGTGCTACTTACTTCTCTGAAGCTTTGGGCGTGTTCTTCTCCTCGCCCCTGGCAAAGGGTCCTTCTGCAGCCTCCTTCATGAAGTTGACCAGGACCTCTGCACTGACCCCAGAGTCGGGCTTCCCCAGGAGCTTCAAGATGGAAGCGTGGAGCCGGAAGTACACCTAGGAGAATCATACTTGGGTGTGAGCAGCCTTCCCAGTTGCTTAGGTCCGTTCCACAGGCCAATCAGCCACACTGGAAAAGGGCCACTGACCAAGGAGACAGGCCACCACACACTGCCTTTTTTCATTCGCTTTTAAACCAGCCAACCCATAACTCATTCAAAGCAAGCTCTGACAGTTAAAATGGACACAAACTCTCAGTATTCTAACTTAAATGTTTAGCCAGTGATGCAGGCAAGTGATGGTAAGATAATGAGAATAACAACCCTCACCTCTGCTCAGTGGGCATCTCCTCCCACCACAGCCCCTGCCACCCACTGTGTGCCCCTCTCCTGGCGCCCATACAAAGTGAGCCTCCACGCCTGTCTCCCACCACACTCCAGACTCCTGAGTGAGAACAGTTGATTTCTGAGGCGCAGAACAGTTGATTTCTGTCTGTGTGCCTGCACCTGGGCAAGCTGGGTGCTGTAGGCCTAGAGAAGCTTGCCCAGGAGGTACAGGGTGAGGGGAAGAAGGCACGCCGCATCATTCAGGGCCGTGTGCTTTTCTTCACTTCCTTAAGTCTCACCACAATCCTCCACTTACAAATGTCTGAGGTAAGATGCCCAAATCCCCACAACCAGGAAAGGCCAGGGCCACATTAAACTCTGGTCCGCCCTGCCCTCTACTGCTCCCAAGTAAATGCCACATCAGACACAGACACCTCTACAGGTCACTTGGCCTGACTTTCGCATCCACCTGTGGGTGCAGTGTGAGCTCCCGCCTGTGGCACAGACTCCCACAGGTGGCACAAGGAGTGTTACGAAGGCTGGGAAACCCTGTGGCTGCAGGCCCTGATTAACCAGCCTCTCTCACGCAGAGGTGGTTCTCAAGAGAGGCTGCCAAGGACCATGCAGGTGAGATTGCCAGGGGGTATGGCCCAGGCAGCATTCTCAAGAGGGCATCCTGGACAGAGGGGCCCACACCCAGAGCCCCTCCACCGCTAGCCCGCCTGTGGCCCCAAGTAATTAACCCGAGCAACTCCATTTTTAGGCACAGAAAACCTCTGGGCACACACACATGCCCAGGTGGCCCTGCCGGAAGAGCACAAAGTATTCAATTGGCAAAGTTTAACCAAGTGGCAGGTTCAGTATTTTGAATCCGGGTTCAACAGCAGAGGTGAGTTTTCACCAGGGCAGGGTTAAAGTCTTAAGAGAAATGTCACTTTTAAAGTAAGATATCCACAGGTTGCAGCTGAATGCCTGTTCTCCTGAGAGCCGGCATGGTGTTCTGGGCCTCAGTTCCTTACCTGTTAAGTCCCTGGACCCCACGGGCACACCATCCTGCCTGCTCATTGGTTCTATCAGGCAGCAGCAGAAGCCAAAAGTCAAAGAAACACCGTGGAAGAAAAACACAGTTGTCGTTTTCCTGAGGGCTGGGCTACCTCCTGCACACGGGTTGGGTGCTGCACGAGGGCCCTGGGTGCAGGGGATCTGGCCCCAACCGCCCTTCTCTTCTGCTGCTGAATAACTTAGGGCAAGTCACACTAGTCCTCTAGGTCTCAGCCTTCTCAGCCCGAGCGGAAAGCATGAAAGAGCTGTAGTGGGAAGGACGTGGGGCTTGGGGCTGGGAATGACGGCAACCAGGAAGCTGCTGAAGACGTGCTCAGTACGAAAGTGAACTACACTTTATCATGAACCCTATGAAGATGGTCCCTGAAAAGCTGCTGTCAACCACTCAGCAGGCATCATTTTTCAAAGGCAAATTTTTAAAAATGAGACTTTTCTGCTTGTTCACACAAGCAAATATTGGAAAGAGAATACTAACATGGTTGAGGGAAAACAGACATGCTAATTGATCAGTATAACCTTTCAGGGCCACAGGACACTGTGGATGCAACACTAAATGACCCTTGAAAATCCCCCGTAAGTGCTCCCTGATATGCATGCAAGAGCAGGCCCTGCCTGTACCCTGTTGAGGAAGAAGTGGAAGAGAAGTGCACCCTGCATTGGGCTCCACACTGACAGTGCGGGGCCTGCTTGGGATTCTCTCTCTCCCCCTCTCTCGCTCTGCCCTTCCCCTATGCACTCTCACTCTCCTGCTCTCTCTCTCTCTCTCAAAATAAATAAATAAACTTAAAAAAAAATGCCAGTTGCAAAACGGTATGAAAATGTTACTACGTATCTATATGTCAATAGGGGAAAAATCTAGAAAGATAAATACATGCCCAGACTGTTAATAGGGATTATTGGGTTAAGAGGATAGGATCACTGGGGACTTTAGCTTGAATGTTTGACAGGCACCTGGGTGGCTCCGTTGGTTGAGTGTCCAACTTCGGCTAAGGTCATAATCTCATGATCATGGTTCATGAGCTTGAGCCCTATGTTGGGCTTTGTGTTGATGGCGTGGTACCTGCTTTGGATTTTCTGTCTCTCTCTCTCTCTCTCTCTCTCTCTCTCTCTCTCTGCCCCTCCCCAGCTCTCTCTCTCTCTCTCTCTAAAAAAATAAATATTAAAAAAAATTTTTTTTAATTTAAACACTTCCGAACGTTTGATTCTTATATATATTTTAATCATGAATGTGTGTTAATTTTATAATCAGAAAAAAAGTATATAAAGGCAGACAAGGCATAATAAACAAGCAGATTCTACCCCAAACTCCAAGAAGCTTGCTGGGCACATGGGACTGGCAGGCACTGGGCACGCAGCCTCAGAAAGGGCAAAGCTAAAGTGCTCTGGAAGCAGCAAGTCCTGGGCCAGACCAAGTATATCTGGATCCTCACCCGTGTGCTTAGTTTCCTCCCTACAAAATGTGCTGGCTGCAGCCTCCCAGCCTGCCTCACAGGACTGCCCTGAGCATCGGGGAGAGTGTGGAGTTGTGTGTTTCAGATATCGTAAAAGCAAATCTGAGCTGTAAACAACTGCTCTTCTCTTGAGGAGCAGCGCAAGACCCAAGTCTGGGGTCAAGAAAACAGGCTACTCCCTTGGCCCTGTCCTGCCAAGCTGGGTGCTCTGGGCATACCCTATGGCCTCGCCAGGGACAAGGGCACCTAGCCTTCTCCTGCCACCCTGCAGTGTGGATGCCCTGGGCACTGGGAGATGCTGTGCTGCACTGATGTCATCACTGAGTCAGGTTCTTGGAACCTACATGTGCTAAGGAAGAAAGATGATTTTCTTCTGGGAGATACAAATAAGACACTCCTCTCCCAGAAAGGATAGTAAGCACTCCTTAAAAGAGAGAGGAAAGGCCGCTTTAATTTAATTGCACACAAAGCTGCTGAACGCAGAGAAGTTTCCAGCGGGTTGCATGGGAGTCACTGGGACCTCATGCCCCATCCCCAGGGAGACAGAGAGACTGGCCCACCCCTGCCCTGCTTCCCTGCCCTCGGCCAGCACAGTGTCACCTCCAGGGCCTCCATGGCCAACTCAGGTGGGTTGTGGTAGTGGATCTTCTTGGGGTAGCGGGCAGCCTCTTCGTGCAAGTAGTGGCCAGCCTGTCTGTAGTGCAGCAGGTAAACAGCAGGAGGCTGCTGCTGCTTCTCGGCGACCTTGCCCAGCATGTAGTGGATGAGCCACTCTTCCTCATCACCGTCGCCCTCACAGCGGGCCGCCGACGTGAAACAGTGCCTGGCTGTCTCCAGCATGCTGTCGCGCCGGCCCTCCATCTGGAATGAGACCACGAGACGAGGCTGGGCTTAGCCCACGGTCTGAACCTGCACAAGATCATGCCTTATCCCATAGGGAAGCCCTGCTGCCTTCCTTGCGAAATTTATCATCCTGTCAACGACCCTGAGACACAGAAGTGTTATCACCATTTCATAGCTGAGGACAGTGCGGAGAGGCCTAGGGACGCCCCCCGCCCCCCACACCAAAGTACACATCAAGTAAGGCACAGAGCTGGACTGAAACCAGGTCACCTCATGTCAACTCCAGTGTCCTTTCTTTTATTTCCCCCCAGCCCACCCTGAAGGACACAGTTTAGGAGATTATGAAGTACCTACTGACCCCCTTCTCAAGGTCCCAACTACAACCCTCACTGTGGTTGCAGTGAGGGCCTGTGCCTGGGAAGGGGAGACAGCATCAGGCTGGGGCTGCCAGGAAAGCCAGGCCAACAGCGGCCGAGAACACCGAGAGCCAGTGCCAATGTTCTGAGATGAGCCCCCTCACCTACACGCGGTGAGCACTTTTCTCACCTGCTCACTAGGGTGGGCAAGCAGAGCTAGACACGATGTACACCCCCAACACCTAGCAACACAGCACTGAAGAGGATGTGCACCCCTGGGGTACCATGGGACTTCCCACCCTGTCCTCTGCACCCTTCCGGAAGGACCTTACATAAGGGTAGATTCCTAAGCCCCACCCAAGACCCACTGCCTTGGAGCTGTGCCTCCAGCCACCCTCTCACACACCAAAAGGTGGAAACAGCTAGGACAGAAGATCAACCTCTAAGATGCTTTCCAATTTTTTCTAGTCCCTGTATTAGGGCTATGGGCCAGCACCTAGGTGTCACTGACGTGAGATGTCAGCCATCAAGTATGTGCATCCCTTCATCCCAGAACTCCTGGGCTAGGAGCTGGAAGAAACCCTGACTGTGTGGGGCCACAGGGGCAGCTGTTCCCAGCACCGCAGCTCTCTAGGCCCTCATCTCCATGGCTCTCGCTCAGAGGCAGGGAGGCTGCGACCTCTTCTAGTCTCATCTTGGGGACCAGAGGAAGGGAGAGGCTGCAGGCACCAGGCTCTGCCTGCAGCCTGTGAGAGCAGTATCCATGTCCCACTGCAGCAATAGCCCTGGGGCCAACACAAAGCAGCCTGGTGCTACCCCAGTGGTCTGCAAAACACTTCCTGGGAAAGAAAATTACCACCTAGGGATGCCTGGGTGCCTCAGTTGGTTAAGTGTTCAACTCTTGGTTTTGGCTCAGGTCACGATCTCACAGTTCATGAGTTTGAGCCCCATATAAGGCTTTGTGTTGACACCGTGGAGCCTGCTTGGGACTCTTTTCTCCTCCTCTCTCTCTCTGCCCTTCCCCAGCTTGCTCTGTCTCTCTCAAAATAAATAAATAAGCTTAAAAAAAAAAAAAAAGAAAAGAAAAGAAAGAAAATTACCACCTAAGAATCATGAGACCATCAACGGGGGGGCACCTGGGTGGCTGAGTCAGTTGAGCATCTGACTCTTGATTTCGGCTCAGGCCATGATCCCAGGTCATGAGATCAAGCCCCGCATAGGGCTCCACACTGAGCATGGAGTCTGCTTAAGATTCATTCTCTCTCTCTCTCTCTCTCTCTCTCTCTCTCTCTCTCCCTCTGCCCCTCTCCCATGCTAGCACCCTTTCTCTCTAAAAATAAATAAATAAAATGAAAAAGAAAAGAGACCATCAATGAGTGAGATATGATAGAAAGAACCACAGTGTAGGACCAGAACACAGCACAAGCCAAGTGGCTCCATCATACCCCTCCAAAATTAGATTCCGTAGCAGATCTAAGTATAAGGCAAACACTTCAGTGGAGTCTTGTTATGACTGCCCTGTAACTACGTGGCCTTAACCAAGTCACTAGCCTTCTGCCCACCCAGCTCTGCCACTGAAGGTCATACAGCCACCTACTGAGACAGGAAGGGCAACTGTGAAGAGCCCCATCTAAACTGACACCTAGCACCACATAGATCCCCACCAAGAGGCCAACACCCTCCCTGCCCCACATAAAGCACATGCTACCAGAGTTCCTGTCTTTTGTAGCTGTGCCAGTCAGAACACTTCAGACAGAACAGGAGGGATGGCCACTGAGGATCCAGCATGTTCCAGAGCTCTGCCAGACATCCTCACACCTCCTCTCCATCCAAGAGCGAGACGTGCACCCTCTGCTGTGGCACCTCATTCACCCCATGGCCAGGGTCCCTGGCCCAGGGCCAGCCCATAAGAGGGACTAAGGAGATATCAGTTCATACAATACTGCCATACACGAGGAACGGTCAGCCCAATTACAACCAAAACCACAGCAGAAACATCAAGTTCCTCCCTCAGGACACACAGAAGGTTCTGGCTCCAAAGCCACTGCCCTTGCCTGAGAATGGACAATAAGGGAAAGCATTGGTTTTCCTAAAACAGACACCTTTGGCAAGTTTGCAGGCAGAAGCTGAAGAACACAGCAGCTTATATAGCTATTAACACGTGCCCTACAGCTCATCTGATCAGACACAAGAAACCCAAACATAGCTCTAGCAACCAAGGAAGGGGCTGTGTCCCCATGACATACTTCATAGTAGGAAACTGCCTTGCCAGCGATGGAAAAAAAACAGGAGGCATAGGGCAGCGCTGCGAGGCAGTGTTCACCCTGGACAACAATGCAAAACCTCCTTCCTTCCCTGTCTGCTGAGACACCTGCATGCCTAGTGGATTTCCATCTCTCCTGCCACCACCTTACATTCTGGGAAGATGGCCTGGCAGCCCAGTTTCAGGCCCTGCGATACCTGGGCCAATGGCTTCGACTGGATCCGAATGGAGTTCAACCACAGAGGTTGTGAGCTATGCAGGAGAAAGAACAAGCAAAGGAAAGAGGTGTGCAGGGAGTCAACCTGTGTCTCCTGTCTGTCGCCCACTCTCTGCCCTTCCTGCCCCTTCCTAGGGGAGCCACAAGTTCCCTCCTCTAGGGGAGTTCTACAAATGAAAGCCTCAAGTGCCAATGGCAGAAAAGGAATTCTGACTTCTCCTCATATCTACTTCCTGGAAAACCTCTATTCTGCTAAATCCCACTGGGCATCACTGATGGAGGATTAGAGACAGAATCTCAAGGTCCGTGCTCCACCCACCCCAGTGAGTCCCGGTAGAGGATAATAGTCAGTGCTCCTTGTACTGCCAGGATCCATTTCCCAGCCTGCTCAGCCCTGCGGCCACTGCAGTAATAACAGAAGGGAGGGAGGGGCCCTTGCGCAGGGCAGTCACCAAGAAATAGGGCTGCATGGCATGGGAAGAGCTCAACATGGTGCTGAGTGAAAAGGAAGCTCGATGCCATACACAGCATGACAGCATTTAGGCTAGAGGGAAGAACAGATAAATCATGGCATTCTTTCTAGGAGTACATGTATACATAAATAACCGTATTTTTTTTTTTTTTTTAAGTCTGGAAAGATAAACTGTAGGTTGCTCTGAAGCAGGAGTGAAATGAGGGGGTGGGACAAAAAGGTTTTAGCTTTGTCTTTACTGTCGCCAATTGTTTTAAAGAAGGTGTTTCTTCGTATAATTGAAGAGGGGTTTCTATAAGTGTTAAACAAGGGTCATGCTGCTCTTCTCTCCCCCGTTTTCTTCCAGGGTTTGGCCCAGTCACAGAACCCGACACCTGTCTCTGGTCAGCTGGTTAGCAGGGTCCCTCATGGCCACACTGCCCTTCCCTCCACCTGTGTCCTCTGCCACTGGTGCCAGGCCTATCCCCTGGATGCTGCATGTAAACCACCCAGGGACCCTGTTAAAGTGCAGCTTTTGACTATGAGTCCCTGATGCAGCCTTTTAACAGCTCCCCACCCCCTCCAGCCCCCCCGAAAGAGGTTCTGATGCCCAGTCAGGTGTGGAAGCTACTGTCCTTGCTGACCTACTTGAGCAGAGAAAGAGAGGGAAAAACCTTAGGGCCAAGGTGCCCAGAGTCTGGAACCCTGAGACAACTGTCCTGGGCTCAGGGGGCAGTGACACCCAGAGCTCATGGGAAGAAGGTGAGGTCACTGGCATTCCTAAACAGTAGCCCCAGATGGTGCTTCCAGCTTACCCTCGTCAAGTGTGGGTGCTGTGCAGAGACTGGGAAATGTGTGGAAACAGAAGGGTAGCCTTTTTAAGGCTTTCCCAAAGTGTATCGCACAGCACACCGATGTCCAGCAGGACTTTGTGTGAGAAATCCGAGGCCCCCATGGCTGTCGACACAGGGTGACAACAGTCATCACAGCAGGGGAACATTCAGATGAGCCTGTGCTCTTATAGCACATCCACCCAGCATTTTCACTAAGGTCCATCCCTGCCAGCTCACTTCATTAGTTTTGTAGTCTGTCTCTTGCTGATTTTCACATCAAGTCTGATGGTATAATGCACACCTATTGCAAAGTTAAACTGCAAATTCTGCAAAAGAGGTGGGACTTTGCAAACGATGCGGGATTTCATGAAGCTGATGAAAGTAATGTGGGCAAAGCCTTTGCACATGAGCACCAGGCACAATTAACATGGATGACAACTGCCCAAAGGGAGGACTGCTGGTCAAGGAAGAGACCGCAACACACACTTCTAAGGCACAAAGATGTCAGAGAATCCTGGGAGAGGGAAATAGCTCTCAAGTATTTCTGCAAAAGTAGCTGTCGAAATTTAGGCTGCCAAGGTGAAGGAGCGTCATAGCGTGCTATCATAAACTATTAGAAAATTAAGCTCCCCTCAAACCAACCAAACTCAATCATTCTTGGTTCGTTTGAAGAATTAATACATCCTTGTGATCACCAAAGCCCTAGTAACATAAGACTTAGGAGTTATTTTCATTATTATTTAATTACTAAGATAAAGTCCCAATCACACCTTTACCAGGGTAACTGAGCCCCACCGTAAGTGGATTCACATTGTGACCCTTTGCTAGTGCTGACAGCAGCCCCTCCCCTTCTTCTCTGTGCTGTTGGGTAGGGATGTCACCCACATACAAAAGGGGTGACATTTATGTCATTATTACATTCTCATTTATGCTTTTTAAGTTTACTTATTTATTTTGAGAGAGAGAGAGGGAGAGAGAGAATAACCAGGGGAGGGACACAGAGAGAGGGGGACAGAGGATCCGAAGCAGGCTCTGAGCTGACAGCAGACAGCCCAATGCAGGGCTTGAACTCACAAACTATGAGATCATGACCTGAGCTGAAGTCGGATGCTCAACCAATTGAGCCACCCAGGCACCCTTCATTTATGCTTTTCCATACCAATTGAATTTTTAACACCAAGGACACCTCACTTTCATATAAAATCAGTAAAAGCAACAAAGAGCTGTTACCTCTTTGCAGTACAAGCCTAGGACTTCCCCTACTTAGCACAATGCTAGGAGGCCAGGGTCACTGTGAGGCCAAGCATTCTGGGAGCCTGCCACTGAAAAGTGGCAGGTGTCGGAATGGGGGGCTGGGTATGACAACAGAGGTCCACTCTCGAGGACACAGAGGCTATCAGAGGACAGCAGTGGCACAGCTGTAGCTGAAAGCCTCAGTTGAAAACCTTCTCTCACTGGGTTCCCTCAACAACCCAATGGCAGCATGAAGAAGGTCATCATCTCATTTGGGTTTTGACCACATTTGATCACTAGAAGAAACAGGCCCCTTCCGCACTCTGCTCTCCTAGGAAACCCTTCTGGATTGTCATCTTACTGCCACACCAGCCTCAAAAATGTCATGTGGCTCCTTCATTTCCAATTCAAGGAGCCAAGGCCCACAGGCCAGACACCCAGCAACCTGCACTAGGGGAGTCCCCTACCAAGATGGACTTCAAAATTCCCAAGAAGTTCCTTTGAAGGGAACAAGGAAGGGGCGCATTGGTAGCTCAGTCAGTTAAGGTCTGACTCGAACTCAGCTCAGGTCTTGATCTCAGGACCCCACACGGGGCTCCACACTGGGCATGAAGCCTACTTAAAGAATACATAAAATGAAGTAAAATAAAACATGAAGGGAACCGGAAATAGACAGCTACTTCTGGTGGCCAACACCCCTTCCCTGCCTCTCAACTGCTGGAAAACTGATGGCTGACCAGCCAGATCATAAGAACCTGGCCTTGAATTCACCAATGCCAGACTGGGTGTCTAAAGACCAGGGACTAAGCTGTCACTGACCACAGTATGGCTTCAGTTTCACGAGAAGGACCATCCATGAGCTCCCAGCATGGTTGTGAGGACAAGTGCAAAAAACAGATGGGACAGAACTTGGCCACCTGAGGGCACTTGGGTGGGATGGCAGCCCTTCTGCAGAGCCCCTCCTCACCTGCTGTACGAGCTCAGGGGGCAGCTCAGCTCTCCACTGCTTCAGCTGGCGCGAGGCAAAGGAGTGCAAGGCATAGGACATGGTGCCATACTCAATCCACAGGGACAGGTTGGAGCTGTCGATCTCCAGGGCCCGCCGGAAACAGTTCAGGACAGGTGTGGCGTGCTTCCAGATGGGACCATCACTCTTCAGCTCATTGGAGTTCAGTTTGTCCTGAATGCGACTGGCCCGGGCCAGGGCCATGCCTGCCCAGGAATCAAACCTGCAGTCATGACAAAAGCACCAGTAAACACACAGCTGCCCTTACAGCACTGCAGATATGGTAGCCTGGGCAAGGCACCCAGGCCCCAGGGGAGTGGTCCCAGGCCATGACCCAGAGCCCAGCTCCACCACTCATGGACTCCATGTTTCTAAGCTATGAAATATGGCTAAGAAAACCCGTATCAAGAAAGCTGAGCTGCTGGGACACCACAAGACATGTATTTTAGGCCATTCAGCATCCCGCAGGTACTCAGTAAGTGCTCTAAGAGAATCCCCATGGACTCGAGCCCAAATTATGCTAACATGGTGAGCTCTTGGACTCTGCTCCCCTTTGCTTCCCTGCTTAGAGGGGTTACCCAAAGAATGTCTCTGATGGAAAGGAAAAGGGGTGCTTTACAAGGCATGGCCCATCCAAGGTGACAGGGAGGCTCTCATCCAGCTGCCACCTCACCTAACCCCGCACTGGTAGCACCTGCCATCAACACACTCACTGACCAAAAGCACGGAGCAGCCAAGACCCTGAAAACACTGCCATGTAGTTGCTACATGGTCCTTCCTCTGGGACCTTGACCACATCCTGCCCTGTCCACCTCAGTTCCCAGAAGCAATATGGAGAGCAAGGGGACCACAGGATGGCTGAGAGCCTACAGTTCTGAGATCACCTGAAAGAAAGTGGTGGGGAAAATGTAAAAGGCTGTGATGACGACGAAGGCCAAGACAACTTCTGGGCACTTGGGAGAGTGGAATTTCCTGAGTGCAAGTACAGACAACAGAATAGACAGCAATCACATAACAGATGCTACCTTCCACATGCTGACAATTCTTGACCTACTGCTGTACTAACTTTAAAACTGGATGGGGCGCCTGGGTGGCGCAGTCGGTTAAGCGTCCGACTTCAGCCAGGTCACGATCTCGCGGTCCGGAGTTCGAGCCCCGCGTCAGGCTCTGGGCTGATGGCTCAGAGCCTGGAGCCTGTTTCCGATTCTGTGTCTCCCTCTCTCTCTCTGCCCCTCCCCTGTTCATGCTCTGTCTCTCTCTGTCCCAAAAATAAATAAACGTTGAAAAATTAAAAAAAAAAAAAAAAACTGGCCAACTAGCTTTCTGGACTATTTTTGACAGTCCTCCAGGTGTGGTAAGGGCAGAGCAGACCTGCGAAGCTCATACGTGCTTCTGCCGTACTCCAGGCACCCAAAGATGAAAAAGTATGAGCAAAGGAGCAGTAAAGAGGCCTGAAGGCTTAAGTGATGATGGGGGATAGCAAAAATGAAGGCTTCAGCCCCTGTGTGGAGGCCCTGGGTGTACCCTTTCCTCCTCAGGGCCTGGGATCCGGAGCTCTGCTCAAGTCACCCTGGGGGCGGAAGCATAGGGGTAGGTGTCAAGCTCCCCTCCAGATGGTGGGGAACCCTGTCAGGGACTTACCACCAGGGCCAGATCCTTCCACACTGAGGGTTTCCCCTCTTAATTCCTCCCAGAATGCCTTCGGCAACCCCCTTTGCCCTTGCCTTGAGGGAAGGGACCAAATCACGGTGTGTGCCCATATACCTGCATGAGTACCAAAATGGAAACCACTAACCACAAATAGAAGTGACCAAGAACACAGACACCTCATCACAAAAATAAAAAATGCTTCTCTGTGTGTCACCAAAAACCAAGTCCTGACAAGGGTTCTTGATTCTAGCAGAGCAGCGCACAACCCACACTCGGGGAGTGCTGACCCACAAGGACAGCAGGGAGCCCAAGGGCCAGCGATGCCACGAACTCAGGAGGAAGAAGCATCCAGAGCCTGTGCGCTGGGCTGATACTCACGTAGGGCAGGCCTGCTCCCAGCACTGGGCTCAGAGTTGTTTGGCAGAGGGATGAGCTGTATTGGGACCTACTCCCATCTTGCCCCAGAGAATGCCACTCTATGAAACCCCTGGCCAAGGTGGCCCAATCCCAGCTGAGCAAGAGCAGATGGAACGGTGGATGGGTCAAGAAAAGCTGTCGCCAGCATTCTCGCAGACTTGCTCTTCCTGCAGGGACCACCAACAAACACTGTGGCCGGGACACACCACCACACACCCAGCTGTCTGCCATGGGCTTCACCTGTGTCTAGCAGGCTCTGAAAATGTAAAGAAAAGGCCAGCATCCAAACTTCCATCTTAGCCAGCACAGAAGATGACACTGAGCCCAAGTCTTCCCTGACACCTGCTCGTGAGGGCCAGAATGAAGGAGGGTCAGGACTAGGCCACCAAGTTCCTCTTGGCCCTGGGGCCAGTCCTCACAGGGCACCCCACCTCTACGGCACGGCTGCCAGCAGGCCAAGCCTGACAGATTGACACCCTCTGAACCGGTGCATGTACAAGTTGGAAGGAGGCCCAAATGAGCTGTCACGAACCTTGTCTTGTAACCCAAAGGGCTGCTGGGTGAGAGGTGTCACGCCAGGCTCTCACCTCTCCACAGGCAGGCTGGTCTTATCACCCTCACTTTTCAGACATGGAGGCAGCAGTGCAAAGGAGGTGACTCCTCACTGCCTAGAGCAGGAGCACTCAGCCAGCCTGAGCATGGATCTCCCCTACCAAACTGGTCCACAGTGACCCCAGAGAGGACATCCAGGGCCACCAATACATGGCTCCCTGCCTGAAGGAAATCATACGCTGAGCAACAAGGGGGCTGGGAGAACCTTTCCCACAAGCTACAGAGGTTGTGTAAAATGGTTTCTCTACTCAGATCCCAGCCCCTCTCCCCCGGGCCAGGTGGGTCCTGACAAGATGGAGCTCTGCATTTTCCCCTGAGGATGGGCAGCCTCTGCGGCCTGGCCCGAGTACTTTACCTACAGACACTACTCTGGACCTTCAGATACAAAGCTTATCTCGACCCAAGGCTTACCTCCTAGGTGTGGAGGCCACGAGAAAATGTTCCCTCTCAATCAAATGAATCAGACTTGATGAGCTTAGCAGAGCCCTTTCAGGATGAACAGGCCAACCATTACAATTTAAGAAAAAGCCACCCGGGCTCAGCAGGAAGAAAGCATGAGCCTCACATACAATAGGCTCTCCTACTTTTACTGTCATGACAATTGCTACTGCCAACACTTGCATCAGAGCAAGGAAAGAGAACTCCTAGCTTAAGTATTTCTATTACCTTCCCCTTTCCCCAAAATAAGGAAACAACCATTAGCTAAAGACACATAGTACACATCAGCCCACTTCCCAGGGCCAGGAGCCAGGAAAGGAGGCAGCACTCAACCAGGAGGATGGAACCAGATGGCACCCCGTTGCCCTGCTGGCCTGGATCCAGATGGAAACCTCATACCTTCTCTGAGGCCAGTGCTCATCCCAGGTATCTTCTGGAAGGAAGCCTTCTCCACTGCTCCTCTTTTTATGAAGAACCTGTCTCTTGCCTTTCCTAATAACTGCAGAGTGCTAACCATACTTTCTCATTCCTTTTCCCCTAATCTCTTTGCTATGGCAGGGAAACCCCAACCTGGCCCAGGAAAGGGTTTGCTGAGCTGGGGTCACCCCAACCCTCCCTGCTTGGCCGTATGCCCAGGTCACTGACCTGTTGGGGCAGATGCAGATGTCATGCATGTAGAACTTGATAGCCTTAGACTGCTCCTTGTTTTTGAAATGGTAATCAGCCAGGAGGTAGTAGAGCTCATTCACCACCGGAGGGGAGGGGTCGGCCCCTTCTGGAAGGCAGGGCACCTGGCAGGTGAGGGAGCGGGATAAGGGGAGATGGAGTCAGGGTCTCAGATGTGACCAGTAACGCTGCAAACCCAGGACCATTCACATTAGCACAGGACAGACACTAGGCTTCTCATGGACCTGACTTCTGGTATAGAGCAAGGAAAGCAGACAAGGTGCAGAAGCAGCAGTGCCGGAGGGAAAAATGATGGGACACAGCTCCACCATGCTCAGTTCCTACCTCGGCCGAGGTGCCCTCAATGTAGGCAGAGACTTTGTCCAGGTTCAGGGCCGGCCTTTCTGTGCGGGGCACAATGGTGGCGATCCTCTTCAGAAGGTTGGCCAAGTCAGCAGACACAGTGCTGGTCTTGTAGCTGTCAAATTCAGGAAGGGTCTTGGGCTTAAAATACTCAAACATAAACAGAGCGTCCTCCCATATAAGGTCCACCTTGAGAAAAGACAGAAAGCAGATCACAGTACAGTCAGGGTAAAGCAGAAAGGGAAAGGTTCTTCCATGGAAATAATGCAGACAAGGTTACAATATGTTAGAGTGTAGAAAAAGTCCCATATACTTTTAAAAATCTGCATACTCACTCTAATTCCCAAACCCAAATGTCTGAAGAGCAGAAAAATGAACTGGCATAAGCCCGGCCTTTACAAAGACAAATGTTGGAAACTGAGGGCCACACTCTGTTGAGTCCACATGGCTGAGCCAGAGGGTAGGTTCAATCACGAGTGGGCACTGTGGCCAGGCCACTGACCCTCTCCTTAAGCCTCAGCTGCCCCACTGCTTGCTCTGGACCAGGGTGGGTCTGCATTCTACATGGGACCACAGTGGGGGCCCTGCCCAAGGAGCTTACATTCAGGGAATGGAATTGGTAAGAATAAATGACAGTACTGACAAGCCATGAGTGCTTGAAACCCAAACAACAAAAACAAATGAAAACCTCTAAGGAATTATTCATATTATCCGACTGGAAAAGGAAATCCTTTGAAAATTGCCATGCTGCACTTTTGAATGATTGGTCAACATTTACGAAGCTCGTTTTTGCAAGGAAAACCCTTTTCCTATGATCAGACTACATCTGACCATGCTCTCATTCTCCTGGTGCAACTAACCACAAGAGGTGTGTGTCTGATGTCCTCCAGGAGTGCTCACGCCCCTGCTTCTCTGAGCCCCACTCCCCTGGGCAGGGGCGGGGACACCCTCACCTGCTGGGCTGAGTGCTCCTCCAGGTACCTGGCCTTGCTCTTCTTGCTAGGGAAGCTGTACAGGCAGTAGAAGCACTGTTCCAAGGCGGTCTCCAACTCCTCCTTGTAGGGGTGCGTGTCTTCAGAGGTGGATGCAGCAAGTTCCTTCTGGAGAACGCGTACCTGTGGTAGGCAGGAAGAGACGCCTGAGGAGAAGGCGCCAGCTCTCCAGCTTCCCTGGCACAGTGCCAGCTTCCCTGGCACAGTGGGACCCCAGGGAGACCACCACGCTATCAAGTCTGTTAACCTGAGGAGGCCGTGTCTCTTGGGCCTGTTTCCTAAAAGGGCTTGTTACCCCCACAGGAGCCATTCTAGGCCCAGATCTGACAAGTGACCAGAAGGGCGTGCTTGCCAAACTGCCTTCCTTCTAGCGCATCCAGTCAGTATCTACCAGCTGCTAGGAGATATTATATGCCCTCTGGTAAGTTCTCTACCCACTTATTTGGCCATTCATTTGCTCCCCAAATATTTACCAAGCACCTCGTTATGTTAGGCACAATGTGACACAGTCTCTGCTTTTAAGAAGCTCAGATGGAGGGGCAGTAAATTAAACAGGTGGTTATAATGCAAATGGTAAATCCCATTAGGACTGAGGGAGTCTCTCTCAGACAAAACATCAATAAGGATTCCAGAGGATGTAAACAACACAGTCAATAAGTGATGCATCTATGAAGATTAGATTCAATGGCTATTGTTATGCCCAACTGTTACCAGATACACATTCTTTTCAAGCATCCATGAGCTTTTTTCCAAAACTAGACAAAAAGCACATCTCAACAAATACTAAAGACAAAATATAATACACACCACATCCTCAGAACATAAGTCAGTAAAATGAGAAATCAGTACATAAAGGTAGCAAATACCACAGGTCAAAACATGGCATGCAGCTAAAAATGTACTTGGGGAAAACTTATAACCTTCAGCACTTGTACAAAAAAGAGTGAACACTGCCACTGAGTGGCCATCTAAACACAGTGTAGTTTCAGGTTGATAAGCACATGGCTTTTCCCATAGGCTTCACACATAAACTTATATCTTATATCTTATATAAAAGGAAGAAGTTACTTGAAGGGCACTTTATACACCGGGTCATTCAAACAATTCACCAAATGTCTTTTCACATAAGCTTTTATATGTAAGTTTGTAAACACATCTTAATGCTAGGAAGATGTCACTGAATGACCTTAAACCTGATGTTAACCCCATGGCTTTTCCCAATGCTTCTGCACTTAATTTAGAAACATTAATACCTTAATGATAGCAAGATGTGAAAAAAAAAAAAAGAGTGAACACTGAAATAAGCTTTCACTGCAATAAGTTAGAAAAAGCACAAAGTAAATCCAAAGAAATGATACAGATGTGTGTATGTTTATTTCTGTATTTTTATATTGCACTATACACTATATAGTTGCATGGGTTTTTAAACTGTACGTATAAAATATCATGTAATACATAACCCTTAGCACGTTGCTCTTATTCATTTCACTGAGCTATATTCACATTGATACAAATAAATCTGGTTCATTCATTTGCACTGCTCTAAGCAGTTAAACTAATTAAAATGAATGAATGGACCAGACTTATTTGTATCAATGTGAATATAGCTCAGTGAACTGAAATGAATCTTATTGTACGGGAATATCAAAATTTCAAACTTTTTAGTATGGAAAATTCCAAACATATATTAAACTAGAAGTGATAGTATAGTGAGCCCACATATGGACCACTGATTAATAAGTCTGATTACTAAGCACTGATTACTAATAAGCACTGATTACTAAGTCTGTGCATAGCCAGTCCCTCACCCAACTGTCCCCAATCCACCCCACATCATTTGGAAACAAATCTTAGACATTACATCACTTTGTCTGTAAATATTTGTTACCATATTTTTTTTTTTTTACCTTTTCTAATGATAGCATTAAGGGTGTTTATCCTTTTTTGTATATGTGTTATAAACAGAATTATGGTTAACATCCACCAACATGCTATTCTTTTTTTAAATTTTTTTTTTCAACATTTATTTATTTTTGGGACAGAGAGAGACAGAGCATGAACGGGCGAGGGGCAGAGAGAGAGGGAGACACAGAATCGGAAACAGGCTCCAGGCTCTGAGCCATCAGCCCAGAGCCCAACGCGGGGCTCGAACTCACAGACCGCGAGATCGTGACCTGGCTGAAGTCGGACGCTTAACTGACTGCGCCACCCAGGCGCCCCATCATGCTATTCTTTATATGCATGTGAAAGTTTCTTTTTCTTTAGTGTGGATTCCTATAAAAGGAATTACCAGGTCACAGTGTTTGCACATTTGCAACTTTCAAAACTGTATTTTCAAACTGTTTGCCAAAACAGTTGAACTAATTAATTGTATACTTAAAAAAAAATTTTTTTTAATGTTTATTTTTTTGACAGAGAGAGACAAAGCATGAGCAGGGGAGGGGCAGAGAGAGAGGGAGACACAGCATCTGAAGCAGGCTCCAGGCTCTGAGACGTCAGCACAGAGCCTGATGTGGGGCCCGAACTCATGAACTGCAAGACCATGACCTGAGCCGAAGTCTGACACTGAACCAACTGAACCACCCAAGCGCCCCACTAATTTTATACTTCTGATGGCAGGATGGAAATTCCTACACAGCCCCATCAGCCCTAGGTACCACAGACAAATGCTGATGACTGTCTGAAAGGACAAAATGGTATTCCATTGCTTTTAATTCCTTTTTAATAAAGAATTTATGGTTGTTAGTGAGGTTGAGTGTCTTTTCATGTTTATTGGCCTTTAAGGTTTCCTCTCTAGTGATCTGTTCATATAATTTCCTCATTTTTCTCTTGGACGTTTTTCTATGGATTTGTGGAGTTTTTTAAATACCCTGAATTCCAGTCTTTTGTCTGATATGTATGTTTCACCAGTTTCACACACACGTGTGTCTGTGTGTGTGTGTGTAGTTCTATCACTATGCTATTTTATGTGGAACTTTGTGTATAGTGTTTGTTTTACAGAATTTTAAAATTTTAATGTCAGATTTATTAGTCCTTTCCTTTATGGTTTATGGGGGTGAGGGAAGGACGGTGAGGAAGTGTATACTATCCTTCCTGTAACTTTTTATTTCTATTAGAAGACAGGACTGAAGCAAATACAGCAGATAGTTAATGTGTACACAATCTGGGTGGTAGTACCAGGACATAGTGTAACAGGGACAGTCTGGAAGTTAGTAAAGGCTCTATAGAAAAGGGGCCATTTGAGTTGAGTGTGAATGAATGGATAAGAATTCAGCAACCTGAATATAACATATGAAAAGAAATACTAACTCAAGAAAAGATGAGATCCAAGAGGATTTCTCCCTCAGAGAATACTTCCACTCCATCCAAGAAAAAAAAATCCACACAAAAGATCTCCCCATGTCAGTCACAAAGCACTCCCAAGACACAATCCTTTATCTGAAGACCACTAACCTGGGGCAATGAGAAGAGCCAGCAATAAAGTATTCACCTTTGTAACGCCCACAGCACCCAGAATGGTGAATGCTCAGCAACCATTTGTAGATCAATGAATGAATAAGTTTATGTTTGTTCATTTATTTATTCAAGAAACACCAACTGGACAGTAATCTATGTCAGCCACTGCTCAGGGCCCTAGAGATGCTCCAGGCAGCAAGACTAAAAAGGTCTCTGATCTCAGGAACACACCAGCTAGCAGAGAGGCACGTGACACAGAAACAAATAGCAGGGCTGCTCAGCAGTCATGAGGACAGAGTGGCAGGACCAGGGAAGACCTCTTTTAGAAGGTGTCCTCTGAGCTGAGACCAACATGGCAGGAAGGAAAGGGCAAGCCAGACATGTAGACCCCGGGACAGAGTATGACAAACAGAGGGCATGAGGTGGTCAGGACCTGAGCAGAGAGAGAGAGAGCACTCAATAAGCAGAGGCCGAGTCCACAAAAGTGAAGTTGCTGCAGGAGCTGGAAGAAAGTAAAGGCTAGGCCTCAGGTAGGAAAATCAGGAGCTATGAAATGAAACATGGCGGTACTCCTATCACGTCCACTCCCTCAGATTCACTTAGCAGATCCTGGCAGCTAGAATTCATACTCTGCCAAAAAAGATGTAGACTAAGGAAAATCCAGAGTATGGTCATCCCATCATCGCCCCTGCTGCCTACCCAGAAGGCACCTCAGCACCACTTCTGTCGGGTACCAGCTTGCAAAGGGGCTGACTCATTCTTGACTCTCCCCCAAGCAGCGTAAGGGAAACTGCTTTGTAGAGGTGACCCTGTGGAAGTAGAACAGTGACCCCACACTCTCTCATTGGGAGAGGGAAGGCAGAAAAAGGAAGTTGCCAATTCCTGAGCAGCAATACAGTCTAAGCTTGGCACAATTCTTCCAAAAATGGTCCTGAAGTGTGGCGCTGACCCAGGGTGAGCACCCGGGAGGCCCTCAGAACTCACAGGGTAGAGCAGACACTCAGGCATCTACAGCTGGGGCTTCTGCCAAGTCTCCACCTCCTCAGCACAAGTGCTCTGCAAACTGTCAAGCCCTACACACACATGAGCTCTATACGTATTCTCAGTCTCGTTCATTCATTCAATCCATTACTTATTAAACACCTACTATGAGCTAGATATGCTGTGCTAAGGTACTGGGATCCAGCAGTGAACAAAAGTAACAAAAATCCCTACCTTCAGGGAAGTTACATTTTAATGGAGAAGAGACGCACAATAAACATAACAGATAAATAAATTATATGGCATGCTAGAAGATGGTATGAGCCATGGGGAAAGCATAGGACAGAGGAGGAAGACAAGGACTGGGGAGGCAGGAGCTGCACTTGTAGAGAGGATATGCTCACTGAAAAGGTATACGGCAGAGGTCAGCAAACCTTCTCCTGAAGGGCTATGTAGTAAATATTTTAGGTTTCACATACCACACGGACTCTATCAGAGCTCCTCATCCCTGCCCCTGTATTGCCAAAGCAGCCATAGTTAACATGTAAATGAATGGTTGTGGCTATGTCCCACTAAAACATTTATTAATAGACACTGCTGGGAGCCTGGCTGACTCAGTTGGTTAAGCGTCTGACTTCGGCTCAGGTCATGATTTCGCGGTTCGTGAGTTAGAGCCTCGTGTCGGACTCTGCACTGACAGCTCAGAGCCTGGAGCCTGCTTCAGATTCCGTGCCTCACTCTCTCTCTCTGCCCCTCCCCAGCTTGTGCTCTCTCTCTCTCAAAAATAAAGACATTCAAGAAAAAAAAATTTTTTTAAACAGACACTGCAGGCTGGGTTAGGTGCCCCTCTCATGCTCTGTAACCTGTCTGCACCACTTCGCCTCACACTCAGCAGTGAGGTTTGGGGACAGGAATCATGCTGCTTATCCCCAGTAAGCCCAGTCAATCACAGCTGCTAGTAAGAGACAGCTATCTGCAGTCACTAAATACTTATTTACTAAATAGCTATTGATTCAGCAACTACTACCTTCCGTGAGTGGTGCTGGGCAAACAGGATTCATTGGAAGGTGGTGGTGAATGCAGTTATTGCCTCTAAATTACTATGAAGGGCCTGGCCCTATGCCTGACACACACAAAACAGATGCAGTCACGATTAGTGGTTCTAAATCCACTTGTAGGTCAAGGCCAGGTCCAGAAGCCGTGAACCTCAGGTGCATAAGGGAACCAAGTTCAGACTTTCTGGCAACTCTGAGTAGTCACATATGAATCAAAGAAGAGCAGTGGGCCCCAGTACAGGGGGAGGCCAAGCAAGCCTCAGGACGCCAAACCATCCCTCCCGCCCCACCAGCCCTGGCCAAGAGGGCAACGCTTACATAGAATCGCAGTAGAGCCCCATCGGAATTGCAGCACCAGGACCTTCTCCCCAAATACTCGTGGGCAGTGTTGAGCAGCATGAGGGAGGATGGGAGCATGGGCGTCTCAGCCATCACTAGGGAAAGACCAGACCGACAGAATTAGCGTGGGGACACTTGTGGGACTTGCAAAGCTCAGTCTCTCCTTTGTGGGCTTTTCTGTCTTTACCAAAGTGGCCACAGATTTTTCTTTCTTTCATTTTTTATCTTTTTGTCTTCTTAAGTAAGTTAATGACTTGATTGGCTTTACAAAAGCAATACATACTTTTCAACGTTTATTTATTTTGGGGACAGAGAGAGACAGAGCATGAACGGGGGAGGGGCAGAGAGAGAGGGAGACACAAAATCGGAAACAGGCTCCAGGCTCCGAGCCATCAGCCCAGAGCCCGACGCGGGGCTCGAACTCACGGACCGCGAGATCGTGACCTGGCTGAAGTCGGACGCTTAACCAACTGCGCCACCCAGGCGCCCCAATACATACTTTTCAAAAATCAATTCAGGAGCACCTGAGTGGCTCAGTCAGTCAAGCATCCAACTCTTGACTTCAGCTGAGATCATGATCTCGGTTCGTGAGATAGAGCCTCGTGTGGGGCTCCACCTTGGGATTCTCTATCTCCCTCTCTCTCTCTGCCCCTGACCTGCTCACATACTCTCTCTCTCAGAATAAATAAATACACTTAAAAAGAAATCCAAATCATACAAGAAGACATAAGGAATGCCTTATCCACCTCCAAATAAACACGCTGATGTTCAGTGAACATCCCTGGAAGCAGCGTTCTGGGCATATAGGAAACATTTTGAAAGAGAGAAATAACTTTTAATAATGAAACCCGGGGCGCCTGGGTGGCTCAGTCAGTTAAGCGTCCAACTTCGGCTCAGGTCATGATCTCACAGTTCGTGGGTTTGTGCCTCACATCGGGCTCTGTTCTGACAGCTCAGAGCCTGGAGCCCGTTTCAGATTCTGTGTCTCCTCTCTCTCTCTGCCCCTCCCTGTTCATGTTCTGTCTCTGTCTCAAAAATAAAAAGTAAACAGTAAAAAAAATTTAAAAAAATAAAAATAATGAAACCCATACTATATATACCATTTCTTAACTTCAAGATTCTTATTCTAAGGTCTTTTGGAATATTACAGATGAAAAAAAAGAATGACTACCTTTCAGTTAAGTGTAGGTTCACCACTAGAATGATTACTAGCTCCTTAAAGATCCTTCAGTGCTTCTGAAACTCTGGACTATAACCCACTAGTGGGCTTGTAACTAGCATTTTTAAAGAGGATTAAGGATAGAACACAAAACAGAAAATACCAGTGCATCTCACACCCAGTAGAATAAGAATTCTTTCATGAAATTTATGTCATACTTTTTACTATTGGCCAGTCCCTGTCAAAAAGGTATGAAAGGCATGGATTTAAAAATAAAAAGGGGCACCTGAGTGGCTCAGTCAGTTGAGTGTCCAACTCTTGATTTCAGCTGGGGTCATGATCCCATGGTCATGAGATGGAGCCCTGTGTCAGGCTCAGCGTGGAGCCTGCTTAAGATATTCTCTCCCACCCTGCCCCACCCTGCTCTCCGCACCACCCCTTTGCCCCCTGCTCCTCTCCCCAGCTTATGTGCTCTCTAAAATAAATATATAAATAAATAATTTTTAAAAATAGAGGCACCTGGGTGGCTCAGTCAGTTAAACATTCAACTCTTGGTTTCTGCTCAAGTCATGATCTCATGCTGGTTGGTGAGTTCAAGTCCCATATCAGGCTCCATGCGGAGGCTGCTTGGGATTCTATCTCCCAGTCTCTGCCCCTCCCCCACTTTCTCTTTCTCTCTCAAAATAAATAAATAGACTTAAAAAAATTTTTTAATAAAAAACATAACTCAGAAAATCATGAGGAAACTATGCTAATTTTTTATGGATCTTTTAGTTTCCATTTTCAACAGCATCAAGTGATTCTATTATACAAGATGGGAGATAGCCTTGTAACACTTCCTCCTTTCTCCTCATCTCCCAATTTTGTTGTGCATATTATTTGTAGCACTTCAGGTTTGCAACATTGACACTCTGTTCTGCAACCATAATTAGCATAACTGCTTTCTCCCAATTCCAAGTTTAAATGGATTTGGTGCTCATCTCAAATCCTTGCCTGTGGCTTTTCCACTCCTGACGAATTTCATTCTGACTCATGTTGGTTTACTGACTTCATCCTCCAGTGACATCTTTAAAAGCACCCACAGGAGCTGGAATCCTGATTTATAAATGTCTGTTCCCACTATTAATTACAAACAACTTGGCTAGATGTCCTAGATCGTACCATCGTTCCTTGAGAACCATGTAGACTTTTAGACATCACCTCAACTGCTCTGAATGCAGCTAGGGAGAAATCTGAAATGAGTCTCATGTTTTACCTGTGAAGATAAATCATTTTTTCAATTTAGAAATCTAAAAAATACTTATTTATTTATTTATTTATTTATTTATTTATTTATTTATTTATTTTTGAGAGAAAGAGCAAGTGAGCGAGCATGTGCTTGCACAGGAGCAGGGGAGGGGCAGAGGGAGAAAGAGAATGTTAAGCAGGCTCCATGCCCAGCATGGAGCCCAGTGTGGGGCTCAATCCCATGACCCTGGGATCATGATCTCAGCAGAAATCAAGAGTTGGACACTCAACCGACGGAGCCACCTAGGCACCCCTAAAAAATCTTTATTCTTCAAGTAGGATGTATCTTGTGGCGTTACCAATTTTTCATGGTACATGCTGAACAATGAATCTGCAAGCTCAATTTTTTTTTTTACAGAGAAATGTTCCCGTATTTGACAGTGGGTTGACTGCTTATCCTATTTCACTGCTGGGGTCTTTCCTTTAGGAGCACTACCTATCCTCACACTGGACAACCTGTTTCCCATATCCATCCTCTTCTCTCTAATGCTGTTAGCTCTGACCTGCATCCATTGGTTTCAGTTCTAGCCATGCTCATTCTGCTCCTTGCTGTCTGGTTTGTTAGTTGTAACAGTGAGACTTGGTTTATAATGTTTTCCCTTAGTTTTGCAATTTTCCTTTTTGTTTCATTCTGCTTATGAGCTCAGATTTTTTAATAAATTATTTCTTGTGCAAATTGTTACAGGGTCCCTGCCTTTGTTCCTCAGTGTAAGTTTTCTTCCTGACTGAGTTCGTTTCTTTTTTTGTCCCCCACCCTGTGTGGGGGACAGGCTACGCTATGTCAGCACAGTGGCCATGTCATTTCTTTCTACCCTGCTCATAGTTAGGGCACTTCCTCCACACTACATAAGTAGCTCTAATATATCACCAATGAATTTTCTGGGGCACTCTCCCAAATATAAGCTCAATTTGCCCTTTCCTTAAAACCATAATTTTAAAGCAGGTGTTGCTCTCAATTCACTTGTCTGTAACCTATGTCTGCAGAGACAGAAGAAGGGAGATCATAGGGCTAGTGCTGCACACAATCCTTGCCAGAGAGCCTGGACTTTGTTCTCTCTCAGAGATCCCCTTTAAGGTACGCCTGGCTGCCCAGCAAGAGGAGTGCAGTCAGCAGACAACCCCCAACCGCCAGTTCCTTCAGGGTCTGCTACAGCTGCAGACATGCACCCCACCCAAGGTCACAGGATTCCTGCAGGAGTCCATATACAGTGATTGAGCAAAATGGGAGAACAGGGCTCCTGGGTGGCTCAGTCGGTTAAGTGTCCGTCTTCAGCTCAGGTCATGATCTCACAGTCCATGAGTTCAAGCCCCGTGTCAGGCTCTGTGCTGACAGCTCAGAACCTGAAGCCTACTTCGGATTCTGATTCTGTGTCTCCCTCTCTCTCTGCCCTGCCCCTGCTTGCACTGTCTCTCTCTCTCTCTCTCTCTCTCTCTCTCTCTCTCTCTCTCTTGCTCTCAAAAATAAATAATAAACATTAAAAAAAAATTTTTTTTAAAGAATGATGGGGTATCTTTGTTTAAAAGGTCATTTAGCTGTTATGGTTATTTCTTCAATTCACCACATTTCCTACCACTGCATTGACCTGGCTCAAGTGCCATCTCCATAAAGAGTCCTGGGCTCTCTCTCCAGCTTCTCATTCACAATTACTCATTTGTCACCCTCACGTGCCAGACACTGATTTGGCAAATGATAGCTTTATTATTTCATTTTGTCCTCAGAACAACCCTCTGAGATAGGTACCATTATTCCCAGCATATACGTGGGGAATAGAGGCTGAGAGGTTGTATGACTTGACCAAGGTCACGCAGCCAAGATGTGATAGTTGGGATTTGGACCTGTGCTCACTCCATACTACCCTCCAGCTGTACACATTGCTGCCCTGACTGGCTCACGCCAGCAGGGGCCAGGGGGCGTGGTGGTTAAGTGCGAAGGCTAGTGCATGGCTGCCCATCTCATAGGGCTATTTTGGGGATTAAAGGAGTTAGCAAGTTTGAGACTGCCTGGAGCAGTGTCCGTGCTCCTTGTAAGCACTCCCCATGCTGTCACTCTATTACCACCTGCACCAGACATGAAATACCACACACCCACTGCCTCTCGACCCCACTGTGCAATGAGCTCCCCGAAGAAGCCTCTGCTTCTGTCCAGGCCCCACACAAAATCCTACTGACTGAGCCCCGAGCCCACTCACAGCATCTGGATAGGACTGTCAGGGCCCACCTCCACCCAGAACCATTTCCTGCCACCTTCATCCGTTGGGTTCTGAAGCTGTTGCTGGTGACACAGGGAGTGGAAGGTGTCCTCTTCCTGCCAGATGATTCGATGCAGGATGATCCAGGGCAGCACTGAGGAGACATGGGGCTCCTTGGGCTCCTCTTGGACGGCCATGCTGCAGTCAATGACCTGGGAGAGGGAGAACAAGGGTGTCACAGTAGGGCCAGCTCTCCCTCCAACCCTGTGGGGTGACCCCTCAGGGCAGAGGCGGGGACATGACTAGAAAGCACTCCAGCACTCCAGTCATCAGAGTCCCAGGATACCCAACAACAGTGGTAAGCCCAGGCATCAGAGGAGCCCGCTCCGGCAGTCCTCCCTATGCCACATGCAGTTCCTGAGGCCCTCTGCACCTATTGTGTGCCAGGACCCATGCCAGACGTGAGGGTTACAGAGGTGAGCAGGGCACGGGGGAGGTGACAGCCTGGGGGGGAAGAGAACCACAGACAAGCCACTCAAGAGTTAAGAATCAGTATAGTCGCTGTAATTAAAGCAAATGAGGGCCACAGTGGGGTCACAGAGGAAGGGTAGGGACAGACAGAGGAGAACCTTGATGTTTCCAGGTGAGTGGTTGTGGTGGAACCAATACTGAAGAGGGCAGGAACTAGGGGTACAGGACAGGCATGCAGGCAGAGGCAGACAAGGAAGTAGATGGAAGTGGATGAGTGGAGAGGAGGCCGGGCAGGTTCAGACACCTTGGGTGATGGGCAACCAGGGGGAACATGAAGGGTTGAAGGGAGGGAGGAGCACACTGGTATTTCCATGTCAGAAAGGTGCCTCTGTGGCAGGGTGGTGGCTGCACCAGGAGTGTAGAGGGGCAGGGAGCACGCTCCCATAGTTCAAATAAGAGACTCTGCCTGGGTTAAGGCAGAGCGCTACAGATGCAGAGGAGAAACAAAGGATGCGGATGTTACGGACATGGATTTGGCAAGACCTGCGCTGATGGCCTGAAGAGCTGTTGTCCGGAAAGAGCCAAGGGTGGCTTCAGGAAAGTTTCCTGCTATGAAGCCCACCTGGACGATGCGGAGTACTGGGACCACCCCTTGGCTAGGAGAGCCAGGACAACGTGGGGTGGTGGAGAGCCCCGGCAGGGAGACAGAGGGCCTGGGTTTCAGCCCCAGCTCTACCTCCTGCTGACCACACACAGGTCAGGGCCTCCTGCTCTGAGCCCGCTTCTGTCACTCAGGGATGGGTGGTCTGGAAGAACCCTGTGATGCCAAGTGCTCAGTAAGCTGCAACCCCCAGACCCGACCAGTCCCAGGAAGGTGTGCGGCCAGTGCGCAGCCACCCACTACCTGAGGTGCCCGCTTCCTGCAGCCAGAGTAGCCAAGGCGCCCCTTTGGGGTCCCTAGCTTGCAGTGAAAGCCAGTGAGCTACGAAGGGGGAATTCCGAGAACCACACCTGCTGGTGCAGGGCAGCGCACGAAGGAGTGGGAGATTACCTGGATGAGGTTGTTGGTGAGCCGGGTGAGGCCAGTGGAGGACGATGATTCCTTCAGGATGCTGCCACTGCTGTCAGCCGAGAGTGCCTGCTCGATGCCCAGCAGTAGCTGGGTCACCGTGGCCACCCACTCTTCCTTGGCTGCGGACTCACTCGCATTCACCATCTGCTGGACGGCCTCGTGCAGAGCCACGTCGGAGCACTCAAAACACTGCCGGTGGTCCTTCAACCGGAGCAAGGAGTCCTGAGCACAGGGAGGGGCGAGGAGGAGGGCGTGCCGTGAGAGGACTGTGATGGCGCTCTCCACGCCTGGTCCTCAGGACTGAGGGGCAGTCCAAAAAAAGGGGAAGCGGAGGCCTTCCACGGGCCTTGAGGCATCTGTGAGGTCACATGGCGATCTACGTGCAATCACGGCATGGCGTGTGCCAGCCAGCGGGCTTTCAGAAAGGTGCTTGACCTCTGCACCTCAGTTGCCTCATTTATGAAGCTGGGACACAGAGGCCAGAGTGGGCAAACTGCCAAGGTGAGACTGAGTGACTCCACCACCTCTGTCAGCTCTCACCCCAAGCCACTGTGCCCCAGGCCACCCAGTCATGTGCTCATCCAGTGCCACAGCGCTCAGGGGTCTCAGCAGGGGAGGGGTCTCAGCAGACTGTCGGGGAGGGATTCTCTCTGCAGAAGAGGACCTGAACCAAGGTCACAGTAGAGGCAACTAGCCAGGCAGCACTGAGGTCATCGTTCTAAGAGTCCCCATCTCTGCCCCCCACAACAGGTACCCTCGTGGAAGAAGGTGACTGGGAGCATGAAATGAGCTGTTGTACCTAGCACACTCAGCACCGTGTCCTGGCACATGGAACTCTCAGAACACCACACTATTTTAAAATCCCCTCTTTGGGAGCCATCATCTTTTGTGAAGCTCCCTTTCCTTTTGCTCTAGAACATAACCCATTTAAGCACCTCAGTCTGAGCCGCTTTCATCATCATGCTGCTGTGTGAGGAAACTCGGTCTGGCTGTGAATTTGCAGATCTGGCAGGCGGCCTGTTAGACCAGCAGGAAGCACCTGCCAACCGGTGCCCCCTCAGGCTCTGACCTCGCTGCAGCTGAGGGCTGGCAACAGCTCCACGGGACACAGCTCTTTGAGGTAACACAGACAGGGGTGGGGCAGAAATGCCCAAAACCGCCTTTGGGATGTGCTGCAGTATCTGAACATAGATCAAAACCACCCCCAATTTAAAAGCCCTAATTGCCAGGAAAATGGGTCCTGTGTTTCTTTAGAGAAAGCCAGCACTCTTTAGCAGGAGGCCAGAGGTATGAAGGAGCCTATGGGGTGCAGACATGGAACCCAAAGGCTGACCCTTTCTGATCAAACACCAAACACGTGAGGGACAGGGGCTTATTTTGTAGCAGGATAAAGACTGTGGACCTGAAAGTGCAGCCAGCATTGCCATGAAAGTCAGGGACAAGACAAGGACCCATCAGCAGTGCTCTAATGTGACATAATGCCCAGGGCTCAAACTTAGAAAGAGCTAAAGAGCACAAGAATAACTGCCAACAAGTGAGGAGACCAAATTACCGTTGACTGTGGGCAATATGATCGTCCACCCGAAAACAGAAACTATCAGAAATAATGGGAATGAAGCACAGTGGCTAGATTTAAAATAAACATGCAAAAAACCAGTTGGGTTCCTATAAACCAGAAATGCACAGTTGGAAAACATAATGACCAAAAAAAGACCCTGCTCAAAATCGCAACCAAAAATATCAAGAACTTAGAATCAATTCAACCTGGAGAAACTACATGATTATAGCAAAGACCACAAAAGGCAGCTTCCCCAAATAGAGAGGGAGACCCATCATACTGCTAGAGGGGAGGATTCAGGCCCTCCCTCCCCTACATACACCGTATAAAAGCTAGATGAAGCACAATAAACATGAAACATTAACACCACTAGAAGAAAACAAAGGCAAACAGACTTTTAATCTATTTGTTGACATGCTTCTTGTCTGTCTCCCTTCTAAAATATAGGTTCTGTCAAGCGGGCCTTCTCCCCTGTCCAGTGCCAGACACGCTGTAGGAACTCAATCCATGTGTGTAGAATGAGTGGATAAATATTCTTCCAGTCTTGAAAAGGCTATCTAAGCATAATAAACAAAATCATAAATGTTTGCAAATATCAAAAGATTTGACAACACAAAATTCACAACTTTTAAAAAGGCCACAATATAAAAGCAAACTGGCATGGGGCGCCTGGGTGGCTCAGTTGGTTGAGCGTCCAACTCATAATTTCAGCTCAGGTCATGATCCCAGGGTTGTGGGATCAAGACCCGCATCGCACTCCATGCTGAGTATGGAGCCTGCTTAAGATTCTCTCCCCCGCCCCCCCCCCCCCCGCTCTGCCCCTCTCCCCTCTTGTGCTCACTCCCTCACTTTAAAATAAAAAAATAAATAATAAATAAATAAAAGGAGACTGGGAAAAAAATATTTCCAACATTTGATGAAAAAAAGATTAGTATCTTTAAAATATAAAAAGCACTCCAAATCAATAAGAAAACACACCCCCTCTGTAAGAAATTGAGGAAAAAACAAGAGTCACTTAATTCTCAAAAACCAGGTACTTCGACAGCACTTGGCCCAGGCCTTACCACAGCCCTCTCAGTACTGCTCAGTGCCCATCCAACCCAACAATGGAGCACCCCGCCACACCCAAGAGTTCTGGACGACAGGAGCAAGCCGACATCTGAATCACTGGGGCCTTCTTATCAGGCACACTGAGGGCTAGCCTCTCCCCCCTCCTTCTCCCCACCTAATGGCCTCCCTGGTACACCCAGACATCCCTCCCACATGCGGTCATGCTGGACACTCCTCCACTCCACCCCCCAAGCCTGCCATGGTAACTGAAGTCAGACAAATCTCATTCCCTGATCTCAGCATGAACCAGCCTGAGCCTACTCTGCCAGGAGCCAGAACCTCCCTTTCCTCCCTCCCAATGTCCCTCCCTCTCCCCCTCCTCCCTCCCTTCCTTCTTTCCTTCTCAGAATCAACTGTTTCCTCTCCTTTCACCACGATGGAGATGCCTCCATTTGCTCCTATAGTCATACCTCTTAACTATTTCCCAGTTCAAGAAAGTTAGTTGAAATGTCTCAAACAATATGAACAAAATGCCTGGGAGAAGATTGGGCTCTCTTTCCAAATTGGAGGGGAAGGACCCAATTAGATAATAAATATAACATGATTAGTGTGTGACCCATAGAGATGGGATGCCAGGCCACCCAACACCATTTAAGCACATCATGTTTATCACCTTCCAAGTTTATCATCCAACCCCATGCTTCCCAAAGATGGCAGCACTGATGACAGTCGGCACCCATACGGTGCTTGCTACATGCCAGGCATGGTGCCAACATACACTAACTTGTATAAACCCTACAGCAGGTCTCTGAGGGATGAACGATGATCATCTCCATTCTAGAGATGAAGAACCAAGGCACAGAGAGACTGAGAAACTGCCCGGTGCCCAGCAGATCCTGATGCCCAGCAAGCTCTCAGTAAGAGTTTATCTCCTAAAGAAGAAAGGCATGGAGGGAGCCGAGAGGGTGCATGGCTTCAAAACACCACTGTGGTGTTCTTTTTCCTCAAGCACATGATTGTACATGGGTATTTATTTGATCTTGATTACATCGTAGAGTTTGTCCATTTTAACAACTACTCAAAGCTCAATTTCAAAGGTAATATAGAAAGACAGGCAGATGAACAAATGGGTGAATAGGTGGGTGACATCCTGACTTTTCTGCCTTCCTCCTCTGCCAGGCAGACGTTCTGATTCAAGTGTGGGCTCATTTTGAGCCACACAGAACCCTGGAACCTGCACTCCTAGGTTCCAGCTTTCTGCCAGTCTTGACCGTTATCTTCTAACTAGCATCTTCCTAGATGCCAGTTAGCAGTTTTTACTCCTACTATTTTCTTCTAGATGCGTGTTCTTGAAAGCCACCTCAAAGCCTTCAGAGAATAAACTCACAACCAAGCAAAGAAGGTATGAGGTCAGAGTGAGGGGAACTGTGGGCACACACACCTGCAGCAGCAGCAGCTGGGCTGGTCTCTCTGGAATGGAAGTCATAAACTCCAGGTGTTTGGCTCGGTCAAATCCACTGGTACACAAGGTTGGGCGGAGCAGATGCACAACGGCTTTGTAGTCACCAGCCTCGTACAGCCGCTGAATCTCCTCCAGGGACTGGCACCGCTCCAGCGACTTCAGGTTCTTATCAATCTGGAAAAGGCCCAGAATGCTGCCCGATGACAAACCTCTCACACTCTCTGAATCTGGCCAATGTCTGCATTTACCAGACCCAGATGAGGAGTACAAAAGTAGACTCCCCGTCAGTACATCAGCATTTATATAAAACAAATGCTTTACAAAAAGTACTTCTAGGGGCGCCTGGGTGGCACAGTCGGTTAAGCGTCCGACTTCAGCCAGGTCACGATCTCGCGGTCCGTGAGTTCGAGCCCCGCGTCGGGCTCTGGGCTGATGGCTCAGAGCCTGGAGCCTGTTTCTGATTCTGTGTCTCCCTCTCTCTCTGCCCCTCCCCCGTTCATGCTCTGTCTCTCTCTGTCCCAAAAAAATAAATAAACGTTAAAAAAAAAAAAAATTAAATTAAAAAAAATTTAAAAAAAGTACTTCTACAGGGGCACCTGGGTGGCTCAGTCGGTTAAGTGTCCGACTTCAGCTTGGGTCATGATCTCACGGTTCGTGAGTTCAAGCCCTGCGTCACACTCTGTGCTGACAGCTTGGCCCCTAGAGCCTGCTTTGGATTCTGTGTCTCCCTCTCTCTCTGACCCTCCCCTACTCGCGCTCTGTCTCTCTGTTGCTCTCAAAAATAAACATTAAAACAAAAAAAATTTTTAAAGTACTTCTATTAAGGTCAAAGCATTCAATTCTTTAAAAAAGAAACCTAGGGGGGCGCCTGGGTGGGCTCAGTCAGTTGAGCGTCTGACTTCGGCTCAGGTCATGATCTCACAGCTTGTGAGTTCAAGCCTCGCATTGGGCTCTGTGCTGACAGCTCGGAGCCTGGAGCCTGCTTTGGATTCTGTGTCTCCCTCTCTTTCTCTCTCTCTCTCTCTCTCTCTGCCCCTTCCCTGCTCACACTCTGTCTCTCTCTCTTTCTCTCTCTCTCTCAAAAAATAAACATTTAAAAAAATTTTTAAAGAAAAATAAATAAATAAAAAAGAAACATAGCAGAGGCTCCTGGGTGGCTCAGTTGGTTAAGCATCTGACTCTTGGTTTGGGCTCAATCAGGTCATGATTTCACAGTTCATGACTACAAGCCCCGCGTCAAGCTTTGCGCTGACAGTGTGGACCCTGCTTCAGATTCTCTCTCTCCCTCTCTCTCTGCTCCTCCCTTGCTTGCTCTCTCTCTCAAAAATAAATAAGTAAACTTAAAAAAAATTGCAAAACATGGGGTGCCTGGCTGGTGCAGTCAGAGGAGCATGTGACTCTTGATCTCAGGGTCATGAGTTCAAGCCCCATGTTGGGTATAGAGATTACTTAAATAAATACACTTAAAAAAAACTCTGCAAGACTCTGAAGGCCACTTTGAGCTGATGTGGACATGTCGCAGCCATGGAACTGTGCTGAGGATTGAGGCTGCACAGTGATAACAGGATCAGAACCCAGCACAGTCTAGCATACATGGCTCTGCTGACCCAGCCCCACAGCCAGACCAGCACCAGTCTGCAGTTTCCCTCTAATTCCTCTGGGGTTGCTGCAACACACAGCCCAGGGAGCTGAGCAATGATCACTCCAGGTCTTGCTGGTGAATGCCTCCTTGCCCCCTGCCACCTGGAAAACCTTTCTCTCCCTTTCCCAGTGCACTAGACTGCCTCTCCCAGGCCCCTTCACCCTCTCCTGGGAGGAAGGAGCCCTGTTCAGCACGTGGGCTGCTCTCCTGCTCCACAGGGACATGGAATAAATAAATCATTGACAAGAATAAATCTCTGGCCAAGAAAACACCATTAAACAACTCCCACTCACCTCCTCCAGGGAAACGACAGAGTCATTGTAGAGGTTGGGCAGGCGGATGACGAGGTCTCTTTGCTCAATCCCTGCCTCAGCCTGGATGGCAGTGGAGCTCTGGAGCATTTCTGTGCAGATGTCATAGTTCTCCAGGGCCTGCTCCATGTCTCCCTGGTCAAAGGAAAAGCAGTCAAGGGACAGGGGCAGAAAGAGGGAAACTCACTGTGCCGTGCCAGGTACCTTACCTTCCTGATCCCACTAGACTGTAGGCACCACGAGGGCAGCTTTGTCCAATTACTGCTATACCGTCTTAAAAGGGGCCTGGCACACAGCCAGGGCTCAACAAATATTTGTTGGATGAATGAACAAATGAATGAATAATTCATACCACAATTCTAAGGAAAGGTATCATTAACTCCCATGGTGCAGATGAGAACACTGAGGACACTTGAAGAAGGATGAGTGTCTTGTTCAAGATCATGAACAGATAAATGGCAGAGCCAGGATTAGAACCTAAGCTTATCTAATTCCAGAACCAACTATGACAATCTTATTCATTCTACCACAGTGTACTGGGTACCACCAGGTATATCCTGGCCATCCAGACCAGGCTCTGAGGAGAAGCCTTCTGAGAATTCACACAAGACAGGTGGTTTCCCCTTCTAGAAAGCTCTGCATCCATTTGTGCATTCATTCAGGCTCTCTCAGGAAAACACAGGCAAAGGGTTCAAGACCGCAAGGCAATCCTGAGTGAGGGGGTTTACAGGGGGCACAGGAGATTCCTTCCAGAGCTCTGTGGTCGTGCTCATATGCTGTACAGACTGGGGGCCATGCTGGGGTATCTGCGATCTGAAAATTCCCCACGTCCCACTTCCTCACTCTGAGCCCAGTGTCAGGCAGGTGCTGCATGTGCACATACACATGAATCCTCAACACCATGTCTAGCTCTCCTCCCTCCCTGTTGGGTGCCAGGGAATGCCAACTGCAGAACCAACCTGCAATGCCAGGAACCGAGCCTTCAACCAATAAACACGGACCACAAACTCCAGCCAGCCATCCTCAAACAGGTCCCGCTGGGATGAGGCAAATGATAGCTGCAGGAGGTCACCCAGGAAGTGGGTTCCTGGGAAATCAGGCCCAAACCTGCCATTCACCACACCAGCGGGGCAGCTCCGAGGAGACACTGAAAACCATTCAGGCCAGAACAAGTCAGCTTCATGTGTACGGTCCAAACACCCTTCTCCTCCCTAGAGGTTGCCCTCAGCTCTCGCCATACTTGCTTTAGTGTCTTGGAGTGCCCTGAGCCCCTTGGAGCCTTACAGCCTCTCAAGTGGCAAGGATCAGAGAAGTCAGAGAATCAGAGAGATGCAGAGACTCCAAGGGCCCTCATTTTACATATTGAACTTTGTTCACTGGGTAGTGGTTTAAAAGTCAGAATGACCCACATCATCCAGGAAAATTATTGGGACACATATTATCAAGTGATAACCTGATAAATCTGATCCTATTTTCTTTAATCCTGAATAGAAAAAAGCAGGCAGGTGACTTCCTCTGGGAGCTCAGCTACTGCTAACTATTTCTTGAGTGTCCATAGGGGTTTCTCTGGGACTCTGGATTTTCCCTGGCCCAACAAGCCAACCCAGGAAATGTGCCCACTGAAAACTAAGTCTGAATTCCATGACTCAGCTTCCCCACTCCCATTACCTCCTGGTTGCTGAGGGTTCAGAAAATTACTCCTACCACAGAACACAGAATGCCTCCTACCTGCAGAGCTTCTGCCCTTGGTCAGCAGCCACTGGTCCAGCTGGAGCTCCATGCAGGACAGAGACATCAGCATCATATCCTGCAGGAGAGGTACCAGAAGATCAGGAATGGAGTTACAGAGTTATTAAACAGTGATGGATGGGATGAAATGAAACTAAAATTTACTTTGATAAATTGATAAAGTAAACCTACTTTCCTTTTATAATCAGTGGCTACTTGCCAGGACATAAAAAGAGGCATATGGATCCTCCTTGGAAGGAGCTAGAGATCTGCCTTCAGTCCTAAGGGACTGCCCAATGGAAGAGGCATCTCTGTCACCTACCAGGCCAGATGTTGCATCCATACTACAGCACTTAAGCCTTAAAAGTGGCTGGGTCAAGGGGCACGTGGATGGCTCAGTCGGTTAAGCATCTGACTTAGGCTCAGGTCATGACCTCATGGTTCGTGGGTTTGAGCCCTACATTGGGCTCTGTGCTGACAGCTCAGAGCCTGGAGCCTCCTTCAGATTTTGTGTCTCCCTCTCTCTCTGATCCCTCCCCTAGTCGTGCTCTCTTTCTCTCTCAAAAATAAAAAATAAATATTAAAAAAAAATTTTTTTTTAAAGTGACTGGGTCAGGCCAGAGTACATAAGGAAGCTGAGGTCCGGAGATAAGGAGGCACCTGCCAAGCAGGCACAGCAGAGAAATAATCAACCTGGTTTGTCAGGAAACCAAAGCCTCACCTCCTTCAGCCACTCCAAACTGCCCCTGGGGGAACAGACTTAATGAGCAGCAGCTGCCAGGATACAGTCCCTGAGCTGTCCCAGTACCTCCACACTGCCCTAAGGACCTGTCAACCCCGAGCTCCTCCACTTTCTGTGTCCCCAGCCAGAAAGACCACCCCGATGGGCCCTAAAGCTCCCAGTACACCCCTCCCGGCACCCAGCCTTCCTCCTATAACAGGAGAAGGGCACCAGAGCATCCAGTATTCCCTTGAGCCTCAGGAAGCACCGAGTGGAGGAGCCTGGAGTGCAGAGTGCAGTCAGCTGGTAGGCTGGGCACGGGTTAGCCCCCTACCACCAATGGCCCCCACCACTTCCCTAAGCAACCTATTTAGCCTCTGCATTTCTATTTTCTCACCTGCTAAACAAAACGCTAACAGTCCCTGGCACCTGGAACACAGCCAAACGTTCCACTTCTGCCCACTCTCTCCACTGGCTCCCCTCCATCTCCACCACTCCACCACCAGCCCTGGTACCTGAGCCAGACCTAGAAGCACCCTCTCCCTGACCATCTCATTCCCTCACCTCCACCTGCAGCTCATCCTGTCAGCTCTACCTACAGAACCCTCCACCCCAGTGCCACCACAGTCACTCACCTGGCAACAGCCTTCTAATGGCCCTGTGCCCACTCTCAGCCCCACGTACAGCCTCCACTCAGCCTCCAGGGATCTCTCTAGACACAAACCAGGTCCCATGACTCTCCAGGGGCCCAGGTCCCAGTCCCAGGCCCACAAATGGAGGTAGCTCAACATGACAGTAACTCCATACCCACGGAAGGTCCCTGTGCCCATCCCCTGGTCCCAGTCTGACAATAGCCCTCAAGAGGCCCCTGGCCCACCTGACCTTGATGTGCTTGTTGCTGCAGTCCCTCAGCAGTGGGTTGGGCAGGCTGGTGCTGTGCCTCCTCCAGCTGTGATAGATGCTGAGCACAACCTCCGCCAGGCCCGGCGGCCACCTCAGCAGGAACTTATGGCCCATGCCCTTCAGGTAGCGCATCATCAGCTCCAGAATGCCCCCATTGGTCAGGTTTTCCAGTAGGAATGCATGCACATCCTGCTTCTCTGCCAGGGAGGGAGAAACAACTGACTTGAATGAAGGACCTTCTATGCCAGGGTCTCCCATTTTCTTTGGGAGATGAGAGGCAGGGGCGGGGCAGGGTAGGGGCAGAGGCAGAGAGCACCTATGTCCTCCTACACAGTGGTGCTGAGGCCAGGCTGCTGGGCCCCAATCCTGGCTCAAGCCCTCACCAGGTATGAGCAAGCTTCTCTGAACCTCCAGGCCTCAGATAGGTATTGAAGGGCCAACCTCCATGCGCTACCTTACAACATGCACTCAACAGTTGTGTCATGTGCATTTGACTTGCAAGGCCATACCCCTGGCTTCAGCCTGAAGCACGTGTCCTTCAGGGAACACAGTCAAGTACGAGCCCAGACATTTCAGCAGACCTCCCAGCTGACCACGGAGCTCAGGCGCAAGACAAATCAAGGCAAACCCTTGACCATACTTTATCCCAGAACCATTTTCCCAGTACAAAACCTAAGCAGGCTATACAGAATAATGAGAGAAGAATTCCCACAAGTTACTCAATTCTTACCAGACTCCATGAACGTAGCTGAGTCGAACGACAGTCTATGAGGTCCAATGTTCGGGAAGCTTTGCAGTTTGGCTTCTGACTGGACTTCATAGGTATTAAAGGGATCATCTTCTTCCTCCGGGTCCAGCTTTCTTAGCCTGCATGGAACACACCAAAATCGCAAAAGTGATACCACACCACACATTCTGAAACAAGCACGCGAATTCTTCCAAAGAGAGAAACTAAAACTGAGCAAGAGGGAAGATGCTAATGAGCGAGTGGCGGGATCCAAAATCCAGGCCTCTGGGAGGCTCTGCCTCTTTCTAGGCCTTTGTGAGCTGGTATCTAGTCTATACCCTCACTCATTCATTCATCCCACCAATAGGATGTGTTGATCCCTGATCAACTGGTGACCAGGCATGTGCCAGACACTGAAATTCAGCTGTTAGTGTGGCAAAACCTGCCCACAGTAAACTTGCCTTCTGATGGGAGAGACAGAAAATATACAGAAACACAAAGACAAAGAGCCCACATGAGGACCAACCACCAGAGAGTGCTTAAGACAGAGTCACAGGGGACCTCCTTTAGAGAGCTGAGTCAGGATGATCTCTCAGAGGGGGTAATGTCTATGTGGACAATGGAAGAGAAGGGACTGGCTGTGCAAAGCAGCAGGACAGATACAGAGGCACAGGCCAGAATAACACCAGGTGTACATTCTAAGACCTGTACACCTGGTCTAAGCTGGAGCCCAGCTAGCAAGGATAAAGTGGGTGAGTGGCATATGAGGGCACAGAAGATCCTTCTGAGCTTGGTCCCTCAATGGCTCCTCACAAAGCCGTGGGCCTGGGGAGGACCATTCTTTCAGCACCTCCCAACGACCACATTTTGGCCTTCCTTGTAGCTTCCCCTCAACCAAACAACCCTGAAGCATAAACACATAAAATAGGGCACTTTTCAATCACTTCATTCATTCATTGCACACACACCCCCATAGTGGCTACTGCAGGTGAATTGTCATGTTGTTCTTGCCTGACCATTTGAAGAAGCAGACATGGAAACCTACAATCAAAATAAAGATAAAGAGGGGCGCCTGGGTGGCTCAATCGGTTAAGCGGCCGACTTCACCTCAGGTCATGATCTCACGGTCCGTGAGTTCGAGCCCTGCGTCGGGCTCTGTGCTGACAGCTCAGAGCCTGGAGCCTGTTTCAGATTCTGTGTCTCCCTCTCTCTGACCCTACCCCGTTCATGCTCTGTCTCTCTCTGTCCCAAAAATAAATAAACGTTAAAAAAAAATTTTTTTTTAATAAATAAATAAATAAATAAATAAAGATAAAGAAGCCACAAACCATTCCACATAGGAATGGCGCAAGAATGGAGGGCAAGAATGGCACATGGCTGGCTCAGTGGGTAGAGCATGCGATACTTGATCTCAGGGTTGTAAGTTTGAGCCCCACGTTGGGTGTAGGGATTACTTTTAAAAAACTTTAATGTTTATTTATTTTTGAGAGAGAGGGCAAGCACAAGCGGGAGATGGGCAGAGACAGAGATACAGAGGAGACACAGAATCCAAAGCAGGCTCCAGGCTCTGTCAGCCTACAGTCCGACACAAGGCTCAACCCCACGAACCGTGAGATCACAACCTGAGCCGAAGTTGGATGCTTAAATAACTGAGCCACTCAGATACCCATAAAAAAATTTTTTTAATGTAAAAAAAAAAAAAAAAAAAAAGGCAAGACCCCTTCAGCAGGGCTGAGGGGAAGATGGGGAAATGGGTCACTCAGACCTCTTGATATCATCAGCCACAGCCCCAACCTGCAGCTGTCCTGAAGGGAGACCTGCTCCTGGCCCTAACCCTGAAGAGGAATTTATCAGAGACCACTGATCACATCCTCTACTTAGAGAGAACAACCCTGATTTCCAAGCACTTTACTTCCACCTCCAAAAGAAAGACAACAAATGAAGAAAATGGGAATCTTGCTATAAAATGGATTCACAATCCATCTAAAGCTTTTGGCTCCTCCTTCTGCACTTGGCTATTGTCACCCGTGAAAAGAAACTGGCATAGGCCAAATCACCAGCTGAGGACTCCTGGTTAAAGATGC